GCAACTTTCCCAAGATCACAAGTTAATAAGGGCAGAGGCAGATGGAAAGCCAGGTGTCTACTTTATCACACTGCTTTCTCATATTCAAGGGATAAAATTAATAATAATAATCAATAAGTATTAAGCACTTACTATGTATGAGACATTCAACTAGGCACTGGGAATACAAATACAAAGAATATGATAATCCCTACCCAAAAAGACTTTACATTTTAATGAGGAAGACAAGTACATATAAACACATATAACACAAATCTATATAAATAAGTACAAATCTGTACAAAGTAGTTAAATGAAAGGTGGTATGTGAAGGACACTAGGAGATAGGGAGATCAGGAAAGACTTGAAACAAAAGATAGTGGTCAAGCCATGTCTTAAAGGAGAAAAGGACTCGATAAGGCAGAAGTGAGGAGGAGGTGAAGTTCAGGAATGAAGAGATGGTCATTGCATAAACAGAGAGATGGAAGATGAAGTGTTGCATGTGAGGGTCAGAGAGAAAGCCCATTTTTCTGAATTCTGGAGTACAGGAGGGACAGCAATGTTCATTGTGGCTAGAAAGATAGCGATTAGGGACATATCAGTTGTAAAGAGCTTTAAAAGCTAAGCAGAGGTAGAGCCTAGATGGCAGAGTGGTAGGAATCAGTATAGTGAACTCTCCTCCAAACACGTCCAGAAAACGCATCAGACTAAGTCCTGATGGAGAAAGGCAAAAAAAGTCACAGTGAGTTATTTGTCCAGCCCCACTCAGCGAAGGGAGACAGAGAGGTCTGTAGGTACTGGGGACAGGATTGGGCCAAGAGCATACTGCACCCCTTGAAACACTCCAGCACCCAGGGAGAGACTGAGCACCAGGGCACCTCCTGTGCAGGGGAGTGGTACAGTTTGCAGGTAGGTAGGCACTAGGAGGCATGCCTAGAAAAAAGAAAAGTTCAAAAGCAAGTGACAGTAATGGTGTGGCTCAGAATCCAGGAGCAGAATGGGATCTTAGTTCCAACATCTAGCCCAGGTTTTAGAGAAATAATGAAAACAGGAGTCCCAAACCAAAGAGGAGTCAGTCTCCAGTTCTGCCACTGAACCAACAGAACTTTCTAGCTGGATCATAAGGGTAGAGTCCAGCAGCAGACCCAAACTCGTGTCAGGAATTTGCAGAGTTCAGATCAAACTTTGCCCTTGATCAGACCATTTAAGAAGCACTGAAAACTTACAAGTCCCCAGGCTGTCCCTCAGATCTGGAATAACAGAACACTCAGTAGCCCAAGAAAGCAGCAACAGACTTTCCTACCAGAGATGTGGCAGAGGCCAGCCCTAGCTGCAAGTCCGAAATCGAGACGTCGGCCAGAAGAATGGGCAAACAAAGGAAGAACTCCAACATAATAAGCTATTGTAGTGGCAGTGATGCTGAAGACACAGATGCAAAAGAAGAGAATGACTCTAAAACGTCTACAAGCAGCCAACACCTTAGTGAAAAACACAGCTTGCACACAAACTCAAATAGAATTCCTGGGAGAGATGAAGCAAAGGTTTGAAAAAAGAGTTTTAAATGTTTGTATAATTGCAATGAGGAAAAAACTTAGAAAAGAAATTAGAGCTATAGAAAAAAGAATTGGAAAGGAAATTTAACATCTTCTTACAAGAGATATAAAATTTTGTCCAAGCAACAAACTCCCTTAAAATTAGAATGGATCAAATAGAAGCCAATGATTCCATGAGACGTCAAGAAATATTAAAAAAACAAAGTGAAAAGGCTTTTAAAAAAGAGGAAAATGTAAAGTATTTCATAGCAAAAACAACTGACCTAGAAAACAGATAGAAGAGGAAAAAATTAAGAATCGTTGAACTATCTGAATGCCATGACTGAAAAAAAAAAATCTAAACCTGCTATTTCAAGAACTCTTAAATGGAAATAGTTTAGCTATTATCTTCACTCTCTGTTCTCTGTTTATATAGTTCTTACTCCATTTATATATAGTATGTTATTAGGATATAGAAAATAAATCATTCTTCTTGCTTTTTTTTTCTTCTTGATGAAGCAGTTGGGGTTAAGTGACTTGCCCAGGGTCACACAGCTAGTAAGTGTCAAGTGTTTGGTCTGAGGCCAGATTTGAACTTGGGTCCTCCTGACTCCAGGGCCAGTGCTGTATCCAAAATTAATGCTATTATTTTCATTATGGTTTCATTCTTTTTTTTTTTTTTTTTTTTTTTGGTGAGGCAATCAGGATTAAGTGACTTGCCCAGGGTTACACAGCTAGTAAGTGTCATGTGTCTGAGACCACATTTGAACTCAGGTCCTCCTGACTCCAGGCCTGGTGCTCTGTCCACTACGCCACCTCACTGCCCCAAATCATTCTTTAAAGTAGAAAAACAGTGAGTTTCTAACCCACAAATGTATTTAGAGGCATGTGAGTTCTATCTTTAAAAAACATGCAAAAATCAACTAAACTATATCCTTTTCCACTTGCCCAGCAAAAAAAGGAAAAGAAGTTACCTCTTTTATAAGAATATATGTTAGACAATTCTGAGGTACCACATCACGCCTATCAGATTGACCAACATGACAAAACAGGAAAATGATAAATGCTGGAGAAGATGTGGGAAAATTGGAACACTGATACATTGCTGGTGAAGTTGTGAAATGATCCAACCATTTTGGAGAGCAATTTGGAACTATGCCCCAAGGGCTATCAAAATGTGCATACCCTTTGATCCAGCAATAGCACTTCTAGGGCTATATCCCAAAGAGATCACACAAATGGGAAAGGGACCTACATGTACAAAAATATTCATAGCAGCTCTTTTTGTGGTGGCAAAGAATTGGAAATTGAGAGGATGCCCATCAGTTGGAGAATGGCTGAGCAAGTTGTGGTATATGAATATAATGCAATAATATTGTGCCATAAGAAATGATGAGCAGGCTGACTTCAGAAAAACCTGGAAAGACTTGTATGGTCTGATGCTGAGTGAAGTGAGCAGAACCCAGAGAACGTTGTACACAATAACAGCCACATTGTGTGATGACTAATATTGATAAACTTAACCCTTCCCAGCAATACAGGGATCTAAGACATCTCCAGAGGCCTTGTGATAGAAAATACTATCCACATCCAAAGAAAGAACTATGGAAGTTGAATTGCTATTTTCTTTTCTCTTCTGTTGAGTTTTGTTTCCTGTTTCTGATGGTTCCTCCTATTGGTTTTAATTTTTACTTACAACATCACTAATGTGCAAATATGTTTGATAGGAATGTAAATGTATAGCCTATATCAGATTGTGTACCATCTTGGGGAGAGTGGTGGGGAGGAGGGGAGAAAAATTTTAAACTCAAAAGCATATGGAAGTGATTATTGATAAATCAAAATAAATTAATTAAAAAAAAGAATATATGTTAGAAGGTAGGGTAACTTCTGCCAGAGTTCTCTTCTCATACCTCATCTTGCTATAGGAGAAACTCTGGGTTCTTAACGGTAATGCCAGTGGAATGTCAAGTCTTCTCAAGATGGAAAATGTATAGAAGGACTCTCATGTGAGGACTGGCCCTTGCTAAGTTTAGAGAAAATCATCACTAGATTGGCCAGGAGGTGGTGAATTTTTCAGTTACAAGAACTCTCAAAATCTGTAGTAGTAGAGGGAGTACCCACACTGACAAGAATAGAAGACCCCTAAAATGTCCAAGTTAATTTAATAGAAGAAATTATGTCACTTTTCAGGGTTACCTGTGTTCATTTGAATCAGTATTCCAGTTTACTCTCTGCCATCAGTTGTAAAAACTTGCGATGAAAACAATTTTCGTATCAGATACTCCATTTTCAAGTGAGTAGATAACAGCTGGCACCAGTTTTTTATGCTCCTAAAATCTTGAGAAGTATTTAGATTAATTATATTCTTTCATTCATACTTTTCCCTAAGTTATGATAAAATTAGCAATTTATGTTTCAAAATTTACTAATGTTTTTCACTGTTTTCTTAGCAAAAGCTGCAAATTGTTTTTGGGATCTGTGGTTTTATGATTCATGACACTTTTTAATAGCCCCATGGGGTAAATGTCTATACAGAATCAAAATCTTAATCGGAGTGAGGAAAGTAAAGAATCTCTTTCAGGTGAGATTGAGCCAACAATATGCATGATCAAAGTCAGCTCACGTTAAGATGTTGATGATAACCAGTATTGTCCTTGGCATGCCCAAGTGTTTACTCTCATTCTCTGCTTTTAGAATTCTCAAAAGGTAATTGTGAATTGATGGACATTAATTATCCTTAGATGTTTTTGTGGTGGTATTTCATACAACAAAGTATTAGCAATGTTGGAGAGAATGGGTGGAGGAGAGAGCTGAGAATGTATCTTAGAATGCTAATGCTTGAGGTTTGCAAATAACTTAAGGATGACTCAACCAAAACACTTCAGACTTCGTAGTAGAACTACAAAAACACTAAAGTACCAGCTAAGTGTGTCTATTCATATTCTTAGGACAAAAGAGAAAGATGGCAGAACTGGGTGATGCTCTCATCCCCATGTGCTCAGTCCTTGCAGCATTAGTGACTGAGCTTTTGCTCCGTCTGTACCATGTGAAAATCCATTCCAAAATATGCCTTTGAAGCTTCAGTTATAAACAAGTTGTTCTGGGCTGAATTACAGGTGCCAAATGGATGTAACTACTGGCTTTAATAAACACAGAAGTGGATACTTCAGTTTTTCTATGATGCTTTTGATGTGTATTATACACTAGGAAATGCTTAAGTTATCTAAACTGTGTATTTCCTCCTGTGGCGATCCTCTAGTCAAATACTCTGAAGTTCATAGACACAGAAACACTTAACCCAGATACTGTGTTTGGTTCTGAATCCTAAAGAAAATAATTAGATTCATAAAATAATCCATTTTAACATTTTTTTAAGCGAGTGGTTGAGCTTCTTTTCCTTGGGAAGCAAAGCATGCTTCATAGTTTTTGATGATCTATTATTCAGAATTTTAATTTATGTGTTTTTTTGTTTTTTTTTCGTTTAAGGCTCAAGAAAAAGGAAGCTTAAACTATTCAAAGGTAGGTGAATTTTATATTTAGATATTTGTCAATGTAAGTATTTGTCTACATGTATATATAAACATATAATCGATATTTAGAGAGAGAGATTTAATTATTGATCATACTTAACTTTGAAATGTGGAAAGAGAATCATGATCATAGATTAAAGATTTTCTGTTTAAGGCTTGGCACATAGTAAGCATTTTAAGTGTTTTTTCCATTCTTTTATTCATTCATTAGCATGTTAATTTACATAAGACTACTAAACATTATCAGAGACATTAATATTGCCTACAACTTAAGATATCTTTTAATAATATTAATGGTAATAATTATACTTTACATTGATATAGGAACAACTCAGTGAAGTGGGCAGGGCAATTGATATTAACCACATTTTGAGGAAGCTGAGATTCATTCAGAGGTTAAAATTACTTACTTGAGGTTACCCATCTGCAGGTCATCAACCTTGAAGATTGTCACAGTAGTCTCCAGACCCCTCCAGTTCAGTTTTCTGTCTGTACAATATTTCCCTTTTTGTCATCACCATCAGACAGTGTGCATAGGTGACACTATAAAGGATAGTTTAAATGACAGAAGCTCTATCTAGGTGAAAACAAACTGCGACTTCTGAGGAATCATGTTTCCTACCTCCTAACAGAGAGATAATGGACTAGAGATGCCGAACCAGACGTATATTTTTAAGCACAGCCAATGTGTGGATTTGTTTTGCTTGACTGTTCTTATTTATTACAAAAGAGGGCTTTTTTTCCCATTGGGGAGGAGTTGTAAAGGGTGAAGAAGTGTAGGGATAGTAATGCCAAAAAAAAATAGGAAAGAAAAGAGTATCAATAAAATATTATAAAAATACAGACAAGAGAGTAGAAGCAAGTTCAGAGGGAACACAGATAAGCAGGGCAGTGTTGGCACTGCCATGTCAAATTTAATGTAACATAAAAATCAAGTTGTACATAGTAGAGATTCATGGTATCCGATAGATTCCTTTTTTCTGTTCTTCATATAAGAAAATATTTGTGTTTGTTAAATTCATAACAATAATAAAAGTTTTTAAAGAAAAGGTATTTCGTTGGTATAAGAATATGAACATAAACATGATGCTCCAGTTGTGGAACGCTGACATTTACCATAGGCTATGTCATGTATTTGTACGAGATGGTAAGTTTCATGAAGACAGGGACCATATTAATTTTCTTTGTATTTCCCCAACCACAGTGCTTCACATAGAGCAGGTACTTAAAATGCTTATTTAGTGAATGCCTCAAAGAATGAGTGAAGGAACTGGGTAATTCCTTTACCAGAGAGAAGTCATAGGAACACGGTTTATACGTCAGTTTGGAGGGCCTTTGCTCTGTATCATTAGAGACTAGGGAGAAGTGAAAGTCCAGACTTTATAGCAGCTCCAAGTGTTTCACCCAGGGGCACACAGAAAGCAAATAGCAAATTAGGTACCAACAAGAATAAAGTCATACATGATGACATAAATTGTATTTGGAATTTCAAGTTATTTCTTTTGTGCTGATGCCACAAAATCAAGAAAAAATTATTCGCACTCTTTAATTAAGAAAGACTTCATGGTAGTGTGACTCCAAAAGCCATCAAGAGAGATGGGAACATAATTGACATCATTTTTTAAGGGGTGTGCGATCACATATGTAAGGACGTAAGAATCTGTAAGTACAAGGAAACAGAAAACTAGAAACAGGAAAACTAGATGAGAGGAAAGGTGAGAAGATAAAGGAAAGTGACATAATATGAGAGATGCAAAGTAATTTGGATTAGCTGGAGGAGCCTTATAGTGTATTCTGAGAATTTTTTTCTTCATTCAGAAAGCAGTGGGGGAACCACTGTTGAATATTTGAGCAGTGATGTATACTGGGGTGGAAGAAAGAATAATTTGACATAGGAACTAGAATATAGTAGAGTGGTAAAAGGAATGTTGTAATAATCGAGTATAAAGATGATCAGGTAGAAATGGAGAAAAGATGACAGCCATCAGTGATATTATAAAGGAAGAAATGTAATTTGATGTTGGATTATTAACGAATGAAGAATATTAGGATGCAAGCATTTCTCTGAACCATTTCAGGGAGCATGTTGCACATGTAAGAATATTGGAAAGAAGTGTGGTGATGAGCCATTGATTCTGAGATGGCCTAGACTGAATGAGATTTAGGTCTGTTTTATAAGAGTTGTAGAACAGTCAGAAGGCATGTGCCATTTGGATAGTCTATTTGACCTCGGACAAGTCAATTCATTTCTCTGAGACAGTTCCTTCTCCAGTTAAATAAGAGGAATGGACTAGGTGATTTCTAAGATCTCCTTCAGCTGTAACGTTCTATTGTTCTATGATAATCAGTCATTCTTCGAGAAATAAAAGTGTTGATGTATAAGACACTGGGAATGCAAAACTCCAGACTGAATAATCTCTGTACTAGAAGACAATTTACTTTCTCCTAGAGTAGTTAGAAAAAAACTCCATGAAGGACCATCAGTATCAGAACTGAGCCTTAAAGGAAGGAGCATATTTTGAAAGGCAGGGCTGGTCCAAAAAAATCACCAAACTGTGCATACCTTTTGAGTCAACAGTACCACCAGAAGGCCTATAAAGACATTAAATAAAGAGGAAAAGATTCTGTATATACAAAAATATGGTAATAGCTCTTTTTGTGGTGGTAAAGAACTGAAAACTAAGGGGGTGCCCATCAGTAGGGTAATGGCCAAACAAATTATGCTTTACGATTATAGTGGAATACTGTTCCCCTGTAAGAAATGACAAAAGGGACAGTTTCAGAGAAACCCGTAAAGACTTGTATGAAATTATGCAGAGTGAAGTCAACAGAGTCAGGAGAATAATTTATACTATAATAACAACATTGTAAAAATGAACATTTTAAAGGACTCTAAGCAATCTAGTTACCAGCCATGATTCCAGAGGACTCATGATTTAGAATGCCACCCACCTCCTGACAGAGTGGTGATGCACTAAATATACAATAAGGCATTTTTGGATATGACCAATGTAAAAATTTGTTTTATTTAATTATGAATGTTTTAGTAAAGGTTTTGTTTTTCTTTTTCAGGAGAAGGGGGATGAAAGGGAGATAAAATGAATGCTTGTTAACTAAAAAAAAAAAATTTTTTTAAATTTAAAAAAAGCAAGGTTGAGAAGGAGAGTGCATTTCCAGGTATTGGGGATGGCTTGTGCAATTGAATGGATACAAGGGGTGGTTTGTTGAGTTTGAGGAACAGCTAGCACTCCAGTTTGTCTGGAATGGAGGTTGATATGGTATAATAAATGGTACCACAGAAAGTTGGAAAGGTAGCTTAGAACCTACCTTTCTGAAAGCACTTTAAACATTGGACTGATTGAATGTATATGTTAATGGGAGTAGGGAACCATTTAACCATAGGAATGACTTCAGACCTGTACCTCAAAAAGATTATCTTGTATCCTCTGTAAAGGATGGATTGGAGAAGAGAGAGATGAGTAGCTGGGAGACCAGTCAAGGAGTATTACAGTACTCTAGGCAAGAGAAGATGAGGGCATCAAGTAGAATGTTGGCCATGGGAATGGTGAGAAGGGGTTCCATGAGAACGGAAGAAAAGATATGAAGGTACAATTGACAAGATTTGTCAACCAATTTAGATAGTTAAGATTGTGATGACTCCAAAACTTTCAGCCCAGGTGAATGAGAAGAACGATAGTGCCCTCAACAGAAATAGGGAGGTTTAGAATAGACCAGGTTAGTGGCAAAGATGGTCAGTTCTCTTTTAGAGATCATGTAATTTCTCTGCTTTCTTTAAAGTAAAGAAAAGCTCTCTGTTGTCTACTAAACAAATTCCAGGCACTTTAGTGCTCTTTATCTACTTTTCTAGCTTCATATCCCACTAATCCTAATAAGTGTTTGTTGACTTTTTTCAGTTTTCTTTTTTATATATATATGGCATATTTCCCTAATAATAATACCCGATATTTATATAGTACTTTAAAGTTGGTAAAGTGCCTCGTAGATGTTAGCTCATTTGATCCTCACAACAACCCTGTGAGGTAGGTACTACTCTTATCAACATTGTGCAGATGGAGAAAACAAGGCCCAGAATGGTTAAATGGTTTGCTCAGGGTCACACAGATAGTAAGTGTCTGAGGCAGTATTCAGATTCAGGTTTTCCTGACTCCAAGTCCTATACTCCATTCCACTAAGTCACGTAGATCCCCAGATTCTAAGTCCCTTCTTTTCAGAGGCTCATATCTCTTTGTATTCCAAGCAACTGCCACAAAACTATATATGCTATACGTGCTAAATAAATGTTTATGATAATGAGAAAAAAAATTATAGCTAAAATTGGATTTGATCAGTTCTATAGCATTGGCTATCTGTTCAATTGAATAAATATCAAGTTCCTACTATGTAGAGGGCATTGTATTAAATGCTAGGAGAACAGAGTCCAATTAGAAAGCTGTTGCATCACCGCAAGTGAGAGGTAACATAGGCAAAAACCAGGATAATGATGTGAGTAGAGAGAAATAGATGGATGTGGAAGATGTTGTGGAAGTCAAATCAACAAGACTCAGTAACTGCCAAGGAGATGAGGGAGACGAAGAGTCAGAGATGACCTCCTGAGAGAGGCATTGGACCCTAGATGCTGAAGAATGGGGGGATTTGTTTTGCTGGACCATGCATATTGGTTACAAGGATTTTCTTTTTCTTTCTTTTTTCCTTGCGGGGTAGGGTGGGAAAGAGAGGAAGAATAGGGATGGGGAGCAAAAATAAAAGAAATTGAAAAGAAAGGAGGCTCATTGAAGCATTTTTTTAAATGCACAGAAGAGAACAGAGGAAAGGCCAAAAATAATCATAGACTAGCAGGACAGCCTTGAAAAGTTACATGTTACGTTGATTATACATTTTAAAAGAAAAATAAGTTATTCATAATAGAGATTGGCAGTTTTAAGTATTAATCTTTTTTCTGTTCTACTATGAATAGGAAAATACCTATAT